ATTCATTCATTCATTCATTCATTCATTCATTCGTTCATCCACTCATTCATTTAAACTATCAATCCTTTAACCAACCTATTTTTTATTCTTTCCTTACCATTCTTTCTTTTTCATTTCCAAAATTTCAACATTTATTATTTTTTCTTTGTCATCCCAAGCAATGATTCAATTCTAACGGATATGAAATTGGAAAAAAAAAAGATGAAATATAAACCAAAACACGCATTTGATCTATTTCCGGCTTTTCATCGAACAATTATTTGTTTGAATCACTTTTATTTATATTTCCCAAAATATGGAAGAAAAAAGAAAGGAAGAATCAAGAAAAAAAATTTTTTTAAATCTTTGTTAAATTATTTTCCATTTCCTTTCTTTTTTTTCGCACTTTTTTTTCGATGAATCAAAATTTCATAATTCAGTACTTTTAGTCATTGCAAATCATTGCAATTTTTAGTTAATTCATTTGAATTTATTTTTCCAACGATTGGATTTGTTTGACCGATCTTTTTTTATTCGGATTATTCAAATAAATAGTGATTAAAAATACAAATGATGGCATAAAATTTACTGCAGTACTAAGTAAACCTAAAGCTATCAAAAATACCAAAAGATTAATTAATTCTAATATTAGATTATGGGAAAGGAAAAAAAAATCAGGCTCAAATATTTCAGCAGGAAACATATTGAAATATTTCAACCAGAAGCAGAAATTATCCTGAAATATTTCAATCAGGAATGAAAGTTGTCCTGAAATATTTTGACCAAGAATTGGAATTTCTTGAAATATTTCACGGAAATAGAAATTATTCTAAAATTTAAGACGAAACAGGAATTTCTTGAAACATTCCAGAAAAAAAAAACAACAATTACTCTAAAATGAATTTCCAATAGAAAATAAAAGGAAATAATTTGATGTAAATGACAAACTTGTGCGGCAAGTGGCATATTTGGGGAGCTATGTGGAGGTCGTAAACTTTCTTCAAGGAATGTATTATCTGAAATAAGAAATAATAAAATTAAGTATGCTAAATATTTGAAATGATAATGTTTATTACAAAAAATTAAATTTCACTTTCAAATAAAAGTTCATCTAAAAAAAGTATATAACACATATGTTGGTTAAATTTTGTCAGCAATTTCAATGTTATTATGTATAATTAATGAAATATTCATCATTTAAAATCACAAATAATAAACATTTTTATGGGACAAAATTTAAAACTGTCTTAACTATTTGATATTTGAATTTACCGGAATTAGATTGATCAACATGTACTGTTTGTGCTTCCGATGGCATAATGAAGGACGGATGCGGTAATGCTGCTAGCTGTGTTCCATCCGGACCCGTTGTTCCATAGCTATCACAAAAAAACGATAATGGTATTTGACCATAAAATCCATCATTATTACCACCTGAAAAGAAAAAAAGAAAAAAAAAGAATTATTGGTTATTTAATTTGAAAAATTTATCACATTAACATTTATGACAGCTTGTTGAAGCAAATGCCTTAAATTTTACATTTATGAATTATCGTTTTCGCTCACACAAACAATGTTCTATTTTAGTTTAGCTTTTTGAAAAAAAATGCCTCAAATCTAAAATGTCCTATAGTAATAATGATTTGTTGAAACAATTATAGCTCAAAAATTATGCTTAAATGATAAAATAGGTATATTGTGAAAATTTATAAAAAGCTTCGAATTAAAATTTTATTCAAATTACAACCTTCATAAGGTGATGAATTTATAAAATTTAAATCAATCTAATCAGTTTATTACGATCTTTCAGTTCTTTCCTGCATACAATCATGCAATTGATCAATCTCATCATTTAACGATTGTTAATCCAAACTTCACCTGCCTATTTTCCCATTTATGACGCAATCTGCAATTACTTATTTCATCTCTCTCTCTCTCCCTTTCTCTCTTCCATTTTCTTTCAACTCTTTCATACCTCTCTCTCTTTTTAAAACGGTACTTCATTATGCTAATAAAATCCCTGCAAGGGCTACCACATATTTATGGCAATTGACTTTTATCCTCAATTTAAGCCTTAGATTGACAGACAATATCCTTCCTCCAATATCAATGTTGTTTCTCACCTATATTTCACCTGCTTATGCATAATTTTATTCTCATTATAATCTGAACATGTATGTATATATCATATTCATATCTATTGTTTCTCTCCGTCTGTCCATTTATTATCTGTCTGTCTACAAAAATCAGGTTATCATTTGGTGAAGTAAGGATAAGCCGGATATGAGCAATTGAAAAGCTTAACCATCGCAATCACTTATTGTCATCATACAATGCATTTTTATTTCTTTTAAAGCAAAACATAAATAAGGATTTAAACTTAATTCAATTAAATTCAATTAAAATCATCATATCTAAGATGAAAAATTCGGCAAATTTCAAACTTTAAATGATTTTTTTTTTTTCAAAAAAAAAGAATTGAAAATATACCATGCGAATAAATATCACCCTGTGAAACACATAATTCATCCCTCGTTGATGTTTTACTACGTCGTATTGGCCTATAACCTCCAAACCGTAACTGTTTCATCCTCCTCTCTTTGCTACGTCGATTTTGGAACCATACCTAAGACAAAAAAAAAAGATTTCAAATTTTATTTTAATTTTTGTAAAATTTTAGCAAACTTTTATTTTGTAAATTCGTTACAACGAATTTATGAGTGCAAATAAACAAGCAAACAAATAAACAAGAAAATTATCTAACAATTGTATTGTTTAATTTTTTTTCTGTCACGAATTTTCATCAATTTTTTTCATCGCACAAATTCTTCCTTCTTTTTCTTCGTACAATTATTAAATTAAGTAATAAGTTATCATTTATTGTTTATTTTTTATTTTCATATAATTTATAAAATTGGAGCTGATAATTGGCTAAATTAGTATAATGGGAGGGAATAATTTAAATTAAACTAATTTGCATCAGAAAAATCAATCAAACAATTAAATTACTTCTAATCATAAGTTATTGTATTTTAAGTAATTCCCATATAATTTTCACGCAATTTTAAAATTATTCTTTCACGTTGAACCAACAAATAATCTTACAGAATTTGAATATGCAATTCTTATCAGTTACAGTTGCATATATCTTCAACTTTATAATGATTCATAATATTTTAGCAGTCACTTCATTTTTACATCAATTTTAAATCCACTATATTAATCACATCGTATTTTTGCTTTCACCAAGTTTTGCTTTAAATCTTTAATTAGGTCAAGAAGACATCATAAGCTTGTACATATATATTCAATCAGCTCATCAATGTTTAATCATTTTAATTTTACCAGCAAAATATTATATTTTATTATTTCATCCTTCCCTCAAAACGGTCGTCCCATATTCAATTTTATTCTGTATAAGAAGCAAATATGTGTGTGTGTGTGTCTGTGTGTATGTGTGTGTGTGTCTGTGTGTCTGTGTTTATGATGATTACGGTAGCGGTGCTGACGGTTGATAATGTCCCAGGAGAGGCAGGTGTCAATGGTGGAAAGGAGCCAAGAGAAGGGGAAAAAGGAATGGATTCAACGATACTCCATCTTTCACTCCTTTTAGCTAAATAATGAGAATTGGGATTGAAGTGTAATGTAGGCCTAGGAACTCATTTATAGGATGATGAAATTCAAGAGAAGAGGTTAATAGATGAGAGGATTAGAGTGAATAGTAATGGAAAAAAAATAATAGAGAGAGAAAAGGAGAGAGAGAGAGGAAGAATGGGAAATGGTAAAGGAGATAAGTAGAAGAATATAATAGGAAGGACAATCAAATTTGATCAAATCGAAGAAATAAGAATAGTGGGATGAGATATAACAAACTACTCGTTATTTCCTTAAAGCTTAGCTCTTTCAAAGTATCTGTGTGGGTGTGTGTGTGTGTGTG